TGCAATCAGTGCACTGGTTATAGGAATGGCATTCCAGACGCGATCGTCACTGCCCTTTAGTATCCATTACACTCTTTATTTCTCACTCTGTATTGAGTTCTTCCAAAGCCATGTTAAAAAGTACCTCACACAACATAGCAAGCAGATCCTGAAAAGCTAACGCTAAGAAGGAAAAATTTAGCAGACTGTCACATGATTGGATGCTGCTTTATTCTAGAAGATGTGCACTGAAGAGCATCTGCGGCTATTTGAATATACTGCTTACACCTGCCATCCCACGAGGACATCTTTGGTTCCCTGTTTGTGTTTTTTAATCTCCATCCAGGCTCCATCCAACCAGATGCCCAAGTGGAGAAAGGTAGAAGGAGGGAAAGCAGAAAGCCTTTTTTGTTTTGGTGTATTTGTGTATACTATGTTGTGTAGAGATCAGGACAAAGAAGTCTTGGCAAAGTTTGACAGTAAACTTTATTGAATGAACAACCATGCTGACTGAACACGTCCACGATCACATCACAAACCCGGAATATCTCAGTCAGGGCCGTCGTCATAGCTCGAGGTTTGAAGCGAGGTGAAATTCAGTTCATGAGCTGTGTGTATATATATATAATTTTTTTTTTCCAACAATGCGACCTCGACTTCCAAAGTCACTTCTTGATATACGAGTGGAATGAAACGTAATAGAATATGGATGAGCTCAAAATGTCTGACTTCCTTCTTTTCTATCAGCGTCCCTGCTGCAGAGGCAGTTAATGTCCATCGTCGCGGTGATGAACACTCTTGTCTGTGACCTTTAGACTGGTGTTTGACAACCATGTACTGTGTCTAGTTATTAGCTCAGCGAGCTCTCATCATCTAGAAGTCATTCAAATTCAAACACAGACAGTACTTATTACCTTGTTGAGATGTGAGTCGCTGTTGTGTGCGTGTGTGTGTGTGCATGCGTGTGTATTTTTGCAAGTTTTGAAGTGTCCTTTAAAAACCTTTCTCCTTCATCTCTACTTTGTTTTTTTCATTTTTATTTATATCTTTTAGGTGTAAATCTATCCATCGCTCCTGATAACGTGAAACAGTGTGACATTATAGAGGACCTGGTGACCGTTGTTCCAGGTGTACAGTGCTCTCTCTCTGGGGTTGTAGTCCATCATGCTGATGTGGGAGTACTGGTTGTGGAAGGGAATGTCGGTGTATTCGTACGTGGAGGTGTTGGTGTGGTAGGCAAAGTGGACCTTTGCGCCGGCCAGATGGGAGTTGGTGACGTACAAGGTGCCACAAATCATGAAAGCCTCCCCAGCACTCCGCTTAGGAAAACCCGTGTCCCAGCTGTGGAGGACTTCAAGCGAATGAGGGTCGAGGCGACTCACCTGGAGGCAGAGAGGACAGGGTTGGCAATGATGCCGTCTCACACGGTTGGGAATAAACTGAGGTAAATCAGTAGCAGCAGAAATGGTGAAATTTGTTGAAAGCAGCGTGTTTGTCGTAGATTGTACATGAGAGAGGACTTTTATTTTTTTGATTTCTAAAGGGCCTCACAGTACCACAGACCATCTGCATAAAAGATGGATGCAACCTGTGGGCTTGAAAAGAGAAGCCAAGGAGCCATAAACCTGTCTTCTTTCTGATGGAGGTGGATGAGAAAATGACCCTACATTTCAACTGATTCAGAAAACACTCGATCACTAGTTTCTGTCTTTACTGAAAACAGCACAA